GGTGGAACTGTATCTGTCTAGAAGCAGATGTCTACCTCCGCTGCATCATTTTAATTGCCCTGCTGTGGCTCACCTACCAGTAGACTCACTTGTTTTTTTTATTTTATTTAATTTTTCAATTTTAAAGATGATTAGCTGAAAAACAACAGGATTAAGCTTGTTGACCTATGCTGCACTGGGAATTTTTAACCTGTCATCTGCTGGACTTGTATACTAAGAAGGACGCAACACTTTGAGATAAAGAACTAAAAGCTTAAAAAATTATTAGTTGTGTAAACAGAAAAGAACAGAACGGATGTTTGATTATTGGCAGACAAATAACCCAGCCTTTCTTTATAAAATGATCGTGATTACTCGTGATTTTGTTTACAAGGCTATAGTTGCTTATCAATCCTTGTAAGAATGCAACACATAATTCAGATTAATTTTTTGACTGTGCAGAATGGCCAAAGCACTGAAAGTCATCAAAATAAGTAGGTTTTATGCAGAGGAGACACTTAATATCCAGCGTAATTCCAAACTGTATAAGTTACCTAGAGCTGGGGTATTTTCCGCACACATGGCCTAACTTTCTAACTTTCCTAACTATTAAGCGATTTTGGAATATAGAATCAAAAATAACCATTTTCCTAACTTTCAAATGTCTGATGATGATTTTTTTTTTGGGGGGGGGAGGAGGGACTTCTGTTTTTACTTCTATCTGACCACATTTTATTACAGTTTTGTGATGAAGCTCAATATTTACCATTACACCCCTTGCCCCCCTCCTGCATCTGCTATCACTAATACAACAGCTGCTTTGGGCAGTTTTAATCCTTGAATCCTGAATGGAATGGCTAGATATCTTTATACTAAAATTCAGGAATCCTTATGCATCCTTACTCTTTCCATACTACTCCATTGTATATGCACACATTTATTTTAGGGTCTACCCCCTCCACATAATCTATGGTTGTCAATCAAGCTGTCGATCAGGCAGAAGTGCAGATCCAACTGCTTGTGCCCCCTTTGACCATTACGTACTACTAGCTGCAGAATTTGATGGCGCTCTATAAATATAATAATAATAATAATAATAATAATAATAACTCTGCACAAATCCCAATTCACTAAACTGTGAATCAGGCAGTGTGTAAACTGGTATGGATTTATGGCAGCTACCTATTTTTTTAGTTGTTTCACTCTTCCTACAGGATGAAATTACTCCGAAGAAATAAAATATTTATCTCGTAAATGAGTGCTCTGCAAAGCTGTCCAGTGGCGGAACTACCACATGTGCAGCCTGTGTGGCTTCACTGGGGTCAGGTAGACCATACACTTATAGAAAAAAAATATAAGGCAGACTGGTCTGATCAGGGGCCCTGTCAGGTGCTGCATCCGTTTAGCAGCACGACTGAGCCCCTTTAATGTCGGCACCCAGTGCTGAGAGGAAGGATTTCCTGTCTCTTCCTCCTAGCTTACAGGCCACGTAAGGGCTGAGTGGATGGAGGAGACACAGAGGGGAGGATGAAGACCACTGCAAACAGCCTCAGATTCTCATCTTCAGCCATACCAAGAATCCACCCTCCTGCATCCAAAAAGTATGGAAGCAGGTTGATGGCTCAAAATATACAAATTGCAACTTGCGTATCTGTGTGTGCTTGTGTGTGTGAATCTGTGTGTGTGTGTGGGGGTGTAAATGTGTGTGTCCTAGTGTGTGTTTGTGTATATCTGTGTGTGTGCTAGTGTGTGTATTGGTCTGTATGCAGTATGTGTTAGTGTGTATGTGCATCTCAGGGGCGTATTAGCCGCGAGGCAAACAAGGCATTTGCCTTGGGCGGCATTTTTCAGGGGGCGGCAAAAAAGCCGCCCCCAAATGCCCAGGGCAAATGCCTAGTTAGCCTCGCGGCTAACAGACATGCCGGGCGGGCAGCGCTGGGCGGGCGGCCGGCGAGGGAGCTCTTCCTCTGAGCAGTCCGCTCAGCTCCCTCGCGCGCCGCTGAGTGAGGCTGGGAGCCAGAATATGACGTCATCAACCCGGCTCCCAGCCTACTCTGCTGGCGGCATGAGAGGGAGCTGAGCAGACCGCTCAGGGGAAGAGCTCCTTCGCCAGCCACCCGCCCAGCGCCCGCCCAGCGCCTGCCCAGCCCGACCGGCAGCCACTGGACCCCAGGGAGAGGAAGAACCCCCCCAGCATTCCCAAAGGTAAGGAGGCTGGGGGGGTTAAATAAAAAATAAAAAACACAAGTGTGTGTGTATCTGTTAGTGTGTGTGTATGTTAGTGTTAGTGTGTGTGTGTATGTCTGTTAGTGTGTGTGTATGTTAGTGTGTGTATGTTAGTGTTAGTGTGTGTGTCTGTTAGTGTGTGTGTGTGTGTGTGTGTGTGAGTCTGTTAGTGTGTGTGTGAGTCTGTTAGTGTGTGTCTGTTAGTGTGTGTGTGTGTGTTTGCCTGTGAGTGAGTGTGTGTCTGTTAGTGAGTGTGTGTTTCTGTTAGCTAGTGAATGCGTATCTGTCAGTGAATGTGTGTGTGTGTATTTAGAAGGCGGAGCAGGGGGGAAGGGTTGGGTGGCGGTTGCGCGGGTGGGGGTAGCACGGGGGGGTGCCTGAGTTTTGTCCTGCCTAGGGCAGCACAAAACCAGGATAAACCACTGGTGCATCTGCGTGTGTATCTGTGTGTGTCAGTGTGTGTATCTGTGTGTTTGTGTCAATGTAAGTGTGTATCTGTGTGTATATGTCAGTGTATATATGTGTAACGGTGTGTGTCAGTGTATATTTGTATCTGTGTGTGTCAGTTTTGGTATATGTTCATGTAGGTGTCAATGTGCCTATGTATCTGTGTGTTACTGTGTAGCCACATATGTGTATGTGGGCGTATATCCCAGCATCCAAATTCAAACAACAACACTTAATGCAAACACACCCTTCCAATCAAATGCCAACACTACAAACAAACACACACTTTCAATCAAACACCAGCACTACATACAAACACATCCCTGTATTGAAATGCCAACATTGTATACAAATACACTCAAACACAAAAACTATACACAAACACCAACACCTCATACAAACACACCTGGCATACTTACTGTGGTTTTTGTCAATGGGCAAACATACTGTGGTATTTTTAAATGGGCACCTGTGTAAGCAACCCATCTGAAATGTTACAGTTACCATTTAGTTAAAAAATAAGAATGTTAAATGCATAGCACCTATAGTAACTTTATTTATAACCTGCCCCCCCCCCCAAAAAAAAAAATTAATAAAAAAAAAAAATCACCAACAAACTCATGAACATCAGTCCAAATCCCCTAATAATAAGAATTAATCTGAGTGTATTAATAACACAAACACACATGCACCAAACTTCAATATTAGCAAAGTGCTATTCTGTGTCTATTTATGGGCAAACAGAAAAAGGAAGGCTGCAAGCCAAAGTGACCAGAGTCTATGTATTATATTGCGTGCTATTTAAAGACAGTGCATGTGTTTTCATTTTAGTGACTTCAGGACTTTGGAGAGTGACTTTCCAGGAAAAATTGCAGAAATATGTCCAGCACATATTTTGAAAAAGAATAGAACAGTTGCTCTTTCATACGTTCTATATTTAATACTTAATACTTGGACAAAGAATTTAACTTTTTTTGTTTCCGAGTGTGGAAAATGCAAGGTTTTTTTTTTCTTCTTGCATTGGATTTATTTTAGTAGTTATTTAAGCACAGACACAATTTGTAATTTCTCCTTAAATAGGTTCCCTATAATAAGCAGTAAATTGTTGCAGCATCACATTTTCTATAATTAAAGGAACACTTTAGTGCTAGGAATACAAAGATGTATTCCTAACACGTACGTGTTCCTCAGCCCCCGTAGCCCCCCTCCCAGAGATGTCAGGGGTTAAATAACCCTTTATTCACTTACAGATGTCCCTTGTCGCTGGTTCATGGTCCACCTCCTCTAAAGTCAGCTGATTAAGGACCTAATGCTCATGCACGGCGAGCGCCGCACATGCATTAGACCTTCCCTATAGGAATGCATTGCCTTAATGCTTTCTATGGAGTTTTCTCTGAAGCTGGGTGTCCTCATGCAGAGAGTGAGGACGTCCAGCATCATCCGTGAAACTCCAGATAGCGCCTCTAGTGTCTGTTTGTAGACTGCCACTAGAGGCAGTCTTAGTACTCTGATGTTAACATTGAAGTTTCTCTGAAACTGCAATGTAAAATATTACAGGACTAAGGTGGACAGGACACAGATCACCTAAATAGGAAGAAGTGGTCTGGATGCCTATAATGTCCCTTTAATGATGTTTTTCAAAATGATCCCTATAAGTAGCAATTGCTTACAAGTAGCTTAAAGGGCCATGCCAAGCAAAAAACAAATCATTCTGTATACCTTATAAAGCAGCTTGAAAAAAATGCATGATGCAATATGTAGCCCCATGGAGAAAAGCGCAGCTTAGCAGAGGGGGCCTTGACACGGCTTGGAGGTGGGCTTAGGGGAAGCCTAATGGTGATTGCGTGAGTATGGTTTAGGGGTTGGGCTGATATAAATGTTGGCCATTTTAGAATCCCCATTACTAATTGTCTTATCAAGCTAATTTGGTGTTTTTCATTGCTTGGGCCTGGTAAGTTTGTTTTTTATTTTTTTAGGATTGCTGATCGGGCTCTGGAGGAGCTGATGGCCGGGATCCAGGCGGCGGCATGGGACAGAGGGATTGTGTGGCTGTGGGAGAGACTCGGGGCAGTCCTGGAGGCGGCAGGACAAGATGGCCACAGGGGTCAGCGTCTGGCGTGACAGCAGAGGTCGCCGCAATTCTTAAGCCCGGGTCCCGCGTATGTGGATAGTGCAGGGAGATGGGTCTGGCCGCATCCAGCCATGTGAGTGCTAGGACAGGCACTGGAGGCGTTGCGCAGGCTCCACCGGCCACGGAAGTTGCCCGGCGGCGGGGTGGAGTGGCAGGCTTATGACTACCAAGCAGCGCATCTCTGGGATAGGATGGAGCCGTGCTTAGATTGCAGGCCATGGCGGTCAGCATGGTTGGCCGAGGATGTATGCCAGACACTGGGGAGCATGCCGACCGGGTGCCCCCTGCTGGTCTGAGGGGACACCGGATGGATGCAAGAGCAAGAGCAGCACAGGACCTAGCCCTTGTAGAGCCCAGCAGTTTGCAGGCAAGTGGGACTTCACAACCAGTGTCAGCAGGCCCCTCTAGGCTTGGGGGTGCTTCTGGGGAGCGTGGCTTGGTGCCAGTGGTGATGGGGGAGCAGTGGGCCCCTTGGGAGTGGGGGGTGCCGCTGGGGTTGACCGCAGTCCATTGCTTGCCCAGGGTCCCCTGGTTCCACAGGTTCTTGGGGGCACAGCTGGGCCTTCCCAGGTGGGGTTGAGGCAAGGGGCACATGCTGGGATCAGCAGGAAGCCCCCTGTGGTCAGACGGGGGCCCCTGGGATGGTGGCACTTGCAGGCGGTGGGGAGGCTACCGGGGGTGGGCCATAGGGTACTTCCCATCAGGTATCCTCTGGGGTGGATGCACAGGGCGCCCCACTTGGTGGTCCTGGTCAGCCGCTGGTACGGCAGGGTTGGGCTGCCGGGGTCGCTGTCACCTTGGCCCAGGCTAGTGGGCTGCAGGTGGGTCAGTCAGACCGCTGCTTGGGGGGGTGCAAAGCCCACTGTTACGAGCAGGAGCATGCAGATGGACTGCAGGGGTCGCGCTTTGGCCAAGGGTCCCGGTGCAGCGGGGTGTAGGAATAGGAGAGGGTCGCGCACGGTGCTGGGCAGGTCAAGAAATGGTAGGTCCCCGGGTGCCATTAAGAGGCGCATCCAATCTGGCTGCTGGTGTTGGGCAAGTCATGTCAGAGCCCGAGGGCAGTGTCCCAAGGGGTGTTGGATCCACGGCCGGGGCGGCATCAGACGCCAGCCGTTCCTCTGAGGAGATCTCTATGGCTTCCAGGCATGGACCTAGGTGCAGGTCAGCCCGGGAGCGAAGCTGACCTGCACCTAGGTCCAGGGGTAGGGCCAGGGCATCATGGACCCATGATGGCCAGCTAGGCCAGGATTGGTGGCGGGACACCAGGAAGGGGTCATAGCGCGCCCTGGGATGCAGGGGAAGCGAAAGCACAGAACAGTACAATCGGCCCAGGCATTCTTCTTCTTGATCCAGGTCTGGCAGTGGATTGCATTCTGTAAAATTCCCAGCATCAGGTGGAATCCCCGGTTGGCATGAGGTGAGATGTGGCGGAGCATTCCGGGCCAGTGGGACTTCAAGGAGAAGCCCTTATGCCGCGGCATGCGGAGGGCTTGGTTGGTGAGTCAGACCCTACTGCATCTTTACTTGCTTTGTTACAATCCATACAACACCTGATTGAGGCTTGGGGGAAAGGAGGTACACATAGGTCAAACGCGGGGCGGGTTTGGGCACCGGAGGCCAGGGTCCCCACGGTTGCAGGGCAAGCATTGCAGGGCGACGTAGCAGAGTGGTCATCCTCCGGGGTGGCGGTGGCAGACCCGGCATGTGAGAGGGAGGAGTTGTCGGGGGCGTGCCGGATGCGGCGAGACAGAACGCTTACGCTTTGTTTGCGGGCCCCTGGGTGTGCACCTAAAACAGGACATGAAGGACAGCATCTGGAAGGGTGAGTTTGTGGAGGTTTTCGCACTACTCCCTTTGGAGGAATATGTTGACCTCAAGGAGGAGGATAAAAAGACGCCAAAAAATAGGAGGAGGAGAAACAGAAAAGGTATCATAAGATCCCTAAGTCGTTCGAGAACTGGCTGCAGGCATTTTGTATCCTTGCCAGTGTGATTGGTGAGAAGTCTCCAGGGCTTTGTTCCTCCTTGTTTTGTTATCTGGATGGGATCTGGGAAGCTTATCATACGTATGGGCGGATGGCGTGGTGGAAATACAATGAGCAGTTCCATCAGCGGTTGGCAGCTAATCCAGGGATGGGGTGGGAGCAGATGGATCTCCCTCTGTGGATGAAGCTGATGATGGCTTAGAAGGCGTTGCATTTTCAGCATGCGGCCGGTGCGTGAGGTCAGTTCCCCGCTTCAGCCTCTCATAAGAAGGGAATTTTCTGGCTCTTTAATGAGGGTCAGTGCAAGTGGGGTGCTACCTGCAAGCATAAGCACAAATGTTCAGGATGTGGAGGCTCCCACAGCCTGCACTACTGTTTCAAAAAGGGGAAGAGCGGTGCTGCGTTGGAAGCCACAGGGCCCGGGACAGCACCCGCTACCGCGGGGCCTAACACTGATGAAAGTAGATGCGATGCTGCCATGGATAAGCCTCTATGGTAATGTGGGAGATGCGGAGTTGTTGCAGTCGTATTCTACGCATGGTTTTGCTATACCGGACAGGGAGTTTGATTTAAGCTATAGTAATTGAAAGTCGGTGGGGGATTATCTGGAGGTGGTTCAGGAAAGGCTTCTCAATGAAGTTCAGTTGGGTCGGATAGTGAGGCAATTTGTGAATCCCCGCTGCCTAAGCTTCGGTTGTCTCCGTTAGGAGTGGTCCCTAAGAAGGAAGTGGGGAAGTACCGTCTCATCCATCATCTTTCACACCCAAAAGGGGCTTCTGTGAATGATGACATTGCCAGGGAACTGTGCTTGGTCTCGTATGCATCATTCGACCAAGCGGTTGAGTTGGTTAAGAAGGCCGGGCAGGGGGTGCTGGTGGACATCGAGGCGGCATTCCAACTGTTACCGGTGCACCCAGTGTGTCATCAACTGCTGGGGTGTTTCTTCGAGGGTCAGTATTTCATGGATCTTTGCCTCCCGATGGGCTGCTTCATCTCTCTCGCATTTTGAGAAGTTCAGCACTTTCCTGGAATGGTTGGTTCGGAAGGAATCAGGGAATCGGTCGGTGGTGCACTACTTGGATGATGTTCTCTGGGTGGGCTCTACTGATTCTCCGGTGTGCCAATATCTGCTGTGGACATGCAACATAATGTCATGGTCGGCCATTGAAATAAAAAAAAATTATTCATTGTCAGCAACTTCCTAGTTTTAGCACGTTAAAAAAAGGGGTATTGGGGGCACACCCGAAACAAGCATTTTTCAGTAGTGGTGCTGCAGTAAAGACCTATCACAATGCATATTATGGATTAGCGCACAAAAAAATAGAGTTTCAAATTCGACAAGGCTACTTAAAATCATCTAAATCAACACGAGGAAGCAGACACAGCACTTGGCCACATCATGCCAAGCCCACCACCGCATCATAGAATCCCAATATCGGTGAGTCCTACACTAGTTTGAACACGATAAACAGCATAAAATGTATTGGAGATATTCTGGTGTGCCTAATGCAACACACAGAGGAGAGGGAGATAGACTAACACTCAGCTGCTCAGAAAAACTGGAAACAATAGGGATTCACTAAAAACCTATGTAAAAACACTCTAAAATTCAATAGATAATGAGATTAGATGTGTGGGTCCAGGAGCTAACTGGTGACTAATGGCTATAGTATATATATGGAGAGAATATAATAATAAATAAGATGAATATATACCAGATGGAGATGGGTTGGGTGTATGAAATGTCTTGTGCCTTTAAATACTGGTTATACGTGATATACCTTTAAGTGCAATAGGAAAGAGTAAAAACAAAAAGGAAATAATAATAAATAGATATAAATAAAAAATAGATAAAAATCAAGAGGATTTTTATCTATTTTTGATTGATTTTTATCTATTTTTTATCTATTTTTTATTTATATCTATTTATTATTATTTCCTTTTTGTTTCTACTCTTTCCTATTGCACTGAAAGCTATATCACGTATAACCAGTATTTAAAGGCACAAGACATTTCATACACCCAACCCATCTCCATCTGGTATATATTCATCTTATTAGTTAGCTCCTGGACCCACACATCTAATCTCATTATCTATATTGAATTTTAGAGTGTTTTTACCCAGCATAAAATGTATGCTTTCCTGTGGTTACCTGCAAAGGTACTATCTATAGTGGATGGGTTAAATGTTCAAAATGAATCTGGTCTGGATTTAAACAATACGTATTGCAGTTAGCATGTTAATCTCTCATGTTAAAATTAGTGTTGGACTCACAAATATTGGGGTACTGTGATGTAACGGTGGGCTTTGCACGATGTAACCATGTGGTATAGCTAAATCCCTATGCTAAGAATATCCTTGCATGCGCTAACAGCTCCCTAATAGGGCTCAACATTTCCAATCGCCACTAGCCACTGGCAAGTGAAAATTTAGCTCTGGCAAAACTATGGCTTGCAGTGGCAAGTAATTTTTAGAACTTGGCTAGTAGCACAGAACTTCACATTTTAACCCCTGCTCCCTATCAAGAAGAGACAGCACCAAAGTGAGACCTCTCATTCTAGGCAATGCAGGCTGATCAGGTTAAAGGCCAAAAACGATCGTCCGGGGTTGCTCTATCTCTCGTGCAGAGAAAGCTTGCTGGTATTTCGGTGTTAGACTGCCCTTAAGGCTGGGATCAGTCTGATATGCCTTGGAACTGGATCTCCCTGTAATAGCAGAAGTGAGCAAAAACTATTTTGAGACCTGGGATTTACCGAAGGGCAAGCTACTGAGTTCCTCTAAGTTTTTGTCCATTCTCAGAGTTCTCATATTCTCTGTTTTTAATGCAAATTGATCTGATACTGTAAACCTCTCGTTCAGCAGTAGCTTATTCCCCAGGAGCAGCTCCAATCATCACATAGGATTAGAAAAGAACCTCTGTAAACTGATCGCAGCTTTCCTGGGGCTGCTGTTCGTTTATTCACTACACTGTTCACAGTTTTGTGAACTGCGTTGTCTCAGCAACTCACAGAGTCATTGACCATGCTTGTGTGCGGTTATGGCTCGTCTCTCTCCAGGAAGTGCCTTCCTATGTGTGTGTGTGCAGCAGGCAGATGCCGCATGCACAAATTGGACAGAATTGGCACAGACCACCTGGAACTAAGAATTCTGGTTGTCCAATTGACAGCTAGTTATAATATGCATTCTCTAAACTGAATGTGGATGCAGTAATACAATGTTGTTATGGTGCTTAAATCCATAAAATCTTATACTACAGGATGCTCAGTAAGGTGGAATTCTCAAGTAAGTGTGTTAATCTCATAACATCAATCTTTAGGTTAGGATATAATAAGGCCTGCAAAGATGGAGTATATCGCTCTCGGGGCAGACCTGTGCAATGTATGATCCAATTCTACAATTCAGTTTTTTAGACTTTAAAGTTAACATGAAATTGAGTGTACTCATTTTGTTTGTTGTTAAATGGACCCAGGAGTAAACGTTTCATGCATGTATGTTAAGTTGAATTGATGCATATCTAGATATGGGATCATGAAGACATTCATATGTTCAGTTTCTCCTTTTTAGTGCAGTTATAATTATTTGGTTTTATGTTTTATTTTGGGTTGTAAGTTTAACATTCTGAAGAAACTCTTAAAGGAACACCATCCAAAGTAGTACCCCAGGTACATCTAACATTGCCTCAATATCTGATATTGTCTATGCAATAATTCCTAGTGTGGCTCTAGCTACATTAATTACACCATCATTAAAAATAATCTATTTATTGAGAGTTTTTCTTTTTTTTTTTTACTTCTCTTTCTTTTTCTTTCTTTCTTCTGTGTAAATAAATACTTTTGAAAAGGAATCGCCAAGCTTTTATATGGATCTGCAATCCATAACATATGAAAACCCTCTCTGACTTCTTTCATGGTTTCCACCTTGGAGATGACACGGCCCTTGTCTATTGGAGCTGCTTTGTGGTATAGGGACTCAGCAGATGTGTCAAATTACCTGACTTTAATTCTGTGTAATTGGTGAACATGATGACTATTGAGCTGAAATCCCGGACTCTGATGCTAATGGGTCTTTTCCCTGGCGGATGGAATATGAAGTGGGTATGACTGACTGTGGTTTCTTTAAACTTTCCCTTGGGAAGTTTCCAATGACGAATATTTAACCAAAAGAACATTTGAACACTTGGGTTTTGAACAACCGAAAAAATATATCCATCTGTTATATGTTACAAATAAACGAGTATAATTATTGAAATATATCTTTTTACATATTAACACATTTCATAGTTTTAAGAACAGAAATTAAAATATTCAGGATATAGAAATATTTAAGATAAAAAATAAATTATAATATAATTTTACTATTTGGTTCTTAAGGCATTACAACGTTTAGTAAATAGATACTCTCTTTCTATTATGATATTTACAGCTTAATTATCAATCTGTGTACCTATCTATGAATCTGTCTGTCTATCTATCTACCTATCTATTCTGTTAGTCCATCCATCCATCCCACCCTCCCTCCCTCCCTCCCTCCCTCCCTCCCAGCATTCCTCCCTCTATTCCTCCATCCATCCACCCATCCCTCAATACATCCATCCTTCCATCCATCTAACCATCTATCCCTCCATCCATCCCTCCATCTATCTCTCCATCTATCCATCCATATATGTACTGCCTTAAAAATGCTTAACATTTTAGATTGCCTATTTTAGTGATAGTCTACTATGTATCTGTCTATAATGCTCTGTTCATATTTGCAAGTATATATGTATATAATGTCAAATTTTGAAAATTACTAAAAATAATTTTAAAATAAATATGTTTCGTTTTTAATGAATATATGCTGTTTGTACATATCACACATATTGAATAGCTATGCAATGTTGCACGGCTTAAATGGGTGAGAATAAGAATTAATCCTCTCTTGTTCCTGCTGACTGTAAAATTTGACTTTTTGCATGTAGTGTGAACAGAAATAAAATACAGAGCTACTTATGCCAATTACATCATTCTTGTTCCCACTGGTATTGTGGTGACTGAAACAGACTGTGCAAGACAGTTTAACTGAACGCTTAAACGGAATCTCCTCGGAGCCACCTGTTACCCACGGCCCACCTTAAGGGACATCATTAAACTGTTTTCTGACCACATGCTAACCACGATTTAGAGGGAAAAGAAATGCCTGTGTGCAGCTTGCAGACACGGCCGAGCAACACAAAGAGTAATATGACTCTGCAATTTCAAATGCCCCAGAATAATCCGTTAAGTAATTGGACTTAACACTGGTCACAAAAGGTGTTTTTTAACTGTCATAACATTGTGGGTCCCATGTCACGGTCTGATAAACTGAGTGTGAACACTACCCACATGTTAGGCTGTGCAGGGGCCTCCAGAGTGCAACAGAGACAAAACGCAATCAGTTAAGTCTTAAAGATGATATTTAACCCTTTGAGTGCACGCAAGGCTATGTAACTATGTAAGGTGATAAAGGTGAGTATTTTATTTCAGTGCTCCCTTTACTCCATAAAGCTGTATTGGCTGTTATTAGCGTAATAAGATGAATTGCATAACTTGTTTGTATTGTCAGTATTTCAAGAGATACTTTTTGCATGGAGGTTTGTGGACATGCGAACATGTGAAGATAATGGGGTGGAATGTACACGACTTGCTAATCTATCTAAAACTAGGCATTACTGTCATTTTATTTTCTACACTGATTTAAATTATTAACACTGCCCAAAATATGGAGAATGCACAGGCATACCTCTCAAGTGCCCAAATTTAGTAGGGTCAGTCCCTGTTTTGGGCCCAAATTCCTTTGTTCCCTCTTTTCTTATCCTTACGCAACTCTTTTTTAGGAGCTCATATTGCTGCTGTGTCTGGGTATATAATAGAGCAACCCAGCAATAATAATCATAGTAATGTGTTTAATTACTACAATGAATATATATATATATATATATATATATCTTTTAAACAATTCAGAATTGGTGCCAGGAAACACTTTTAGGCAGTTGCCTACTCTGCCTACTGGCAAATTAATTCTTGAATGCATATTGTAATAAGAGTTCTTTCTGAGCTTACTAGTAAGTGGGAGACTACCTACTAGCCCCCTTTGGCCTGTCAACAGCTAAACGCTCCTTTTTATAGTAAAACTTACAAACCCTACAAATCAGGGAGGTTTGCCAGTCAATTAAATGCTTAATTCATCAAACATTCTGCACACTCCAACAAAGGCTTTTCAGTGACATCCACGTAGGCCTCAATGAAAAAATGCCATCGAGACTCCATAGTTTCATAGTTTGAGGGAAAGAAAAATGACCAAGTCACGCACCACACATCAGTGCATGCCCGTGTATTTTGGTCTTGGATTCCAGGTGCTTGGCTGGCTCATTTGTTTCCTCCCATGAGCCATCAGACTGGAGAGTCTCAATGATATATTGTTATAGTAGATTACAGTTGCATCGTTATTTCTATTATTTATAACAGTTTTATTAAACATTGGCAATTGTTAGATTTCAAAAGTTGGATTTCTTTTTTTTACAGTATTTTTTATAATTGAGAAGGCCCTTCTACACAAATATTAACGTTGTGAGCGAAGTTAAGGAGGCCTCTTTAATTATAAGTGTACTGTCTGTCTGTCAGACCATCTGTCTGTCGTCATAAAGTTATAAAGAATATCCTTTGCCATCCTTTTTTAGAAATGATAAACTGACAGGCTGTATCTATGAGATAATAGTGAGTCATTCCAAACAAGGCTGTGCTATTATATAAAACGCCAGTTACAAATGAAGACATCTTCCTGTTACCTTAATGCTTATGATACCATAGCTAAGCTGCAGGACAGACAGAGACACAGGTATACAGCAAGAGAGAGTGGGATGGATCAATGGATCGGTGAATGGATGGACGGACGAACTAACAAATTTAAGGATGAGTAGACGAACAAACGGACAAACGGAAATGATCATAAGAACTGAGATTTTTGACTCACCCAAGTATGATGTGTCAGCACTGATCTTGACTAATATGTGATTGAAAAACTTTTTTTGGAGCGATTTGATCGTGTGATACACAGTGAGTGAGTCAAATCAGTATGGGAGCAATGCGAATATCTGCAGAGTGATGTGACAGTATTCAGACTTGTCTTGCCTCACATACAAGAAATTCACACACCTACATAAATTGCATTGCAACTGAATTTACCAGATAACAATGGATACATGCCACGACAAAAGAAGCATATGCATACATTATTCTTTATTTATTCTTTATTATACACTAAGAAGAACTCTTTTGTATTTATGTGGTTGATTCCTTCATAAAGTCACCCCACTACGCAGAGGCTACAATGCAGTTAACACTCATATGGATAATGTCATAGCACACAGGACTCTTATATTCTAGAATTCTTAGATTCTAGACTTCCTTTAAAGTAATGCATGTTACAGCTTAAGAGTTGACGCTCAGAGTCCACTAACAGTTAGCTCAAATATAATTCACACACCGGAATAACATAAATTAAAAAATATGCAAACTTGGATGCTTAGAAGAGTTAGTATGATTCGAAAACACTTTTTTCTTTAAAATATATAATCTGATGTTTTGCACTTTTTGTTTGGATTTTATGTAACTAACTGCGGTTTTTAAAATCGAGCTGTTCTAACTATAGAGGTTTTATGTCAAATTCTACTTCCTCTTACTATGGTGTTATTCCCTTTACAGATTATTTAAGGGTCGAGATCTTGGCGTCTTCAAAGCCTGACAGATAGACTGGCCTCAGAAATGTTCTAAAGATATTTGGACTGTGCAAAAACTTCTACTTATCTACCAGCAAATCTTTAAGGTTATGTACATTTATTGAATCATTTCTTCTAGACAAAAATGTACCATCTGCCCAACCACATTTCCAGGAAATTGAAAGGGAGCGGATGTTGTTTTTCGTTGCTTCTCTTTAGCCTAAGACAATTAACCATTTAGCAACCTCACGACAAAATGCATCATAATTGCCAGGATCTGTCATAAAGGTTGGATAATTTACCAGGTCTCCTAAAAAAGGCTCTAGATATCTGACTCCAAACCTGTTAAATTAAATAAAGAATAAAAGGTTAAGCTGTTTGTATGATTTAGTTCAAATGTTAAGTAACAATCACACTTGTTTTATCGTTTTAAGCAGAAGCTATGTTGATGTAATTTCTAGATCTATTAGCTAATAAAAAGGTATTCAAGCATATTCTGTAACTTTAATGATACATGGTGTAGAGTAGTAAGTACAATTTCGACATTTGTCCCAGATACAGGAGTATTTTAATAACAAGTCTTAGAGAAATGTGTTGGTAAAGATGCACAAAGTGATATATGTTATATACTAATTGATAGCTTACTTAGTCATTGGTTTTCTGTTCAGATACATTATATACTGCAAGTGAGACAGCTTCCATGATAATGTATACTTGAATTAGCCATTTTGAATGTTGACAGTGGATATGTAAAAGGCACGCGTATGCTATCAGGGCTAGTAAGTGTGCAAAAAGTCTGCTTTCTGCATTAGTCTTTGGTCGGGTTAGATGAAATTCATCTGAAGACATTTTCAAAAAATGTCAGTGCTTTTTGGGAAGTAGTAGATGGACAAGGGATGGGCACAGAGGGATTTAAAATGTGTGTCATGACAAAAAAGTGCACAGTTTAGTTACATAATTAATATTACTGTATTTTTATTGTATTGCATTTACTATGAGAGGCAGAGCTTGATATTCGTTTGGTGAAGTGACTGAGCAAGAAAGGAAACCATTTTGGTCTCAAAGATTGCTGGGTAGGTTCTCTAATTCCTCTACTTTCTGGTCCAATTAAATTTGTTTCTATATGTTGAGAATGATATTTTTTCACACAGCTCTTGTATAAGAAATCTAATACCCTCACTCTTTTGTTGGCAGGCCACGAAAGGAGTAGGAGGCTCCTTCCACAATCATGGTTGAACCTCTGTGTCTAGGTGCCACAGGTTCAAAAGGGAGGAATCCAAAAGCGGATGTAGAAGGTCTCTGAGGTTGGCATCCCTCTAACAAAGTAATAATTCTCTGCTGACACAAAAAGGCATCATCATTATTCCACCATTTAAAACACAGACTGGGGAGTGGATATACATTAGGATTATGTTCTGCAATTCCGCTTCTTCCTGATAATCTTATTGTGTTTAAGGTTATGAAGGTTGACTCTAAGGTAGAGGGCATTAAAAGATGTGTAGTATATCTAAAATGTTTGATCAGTTTATCTATTTCTTGTTGTTATCAGGGGTGGATCCAGAGCCCAAACCCAGGTGTAGCACTACTGTATTTTGTGGCAATTCTTAATGATGGACACATATATCCACACAAAGCACAGGTGTACACATTTCCAATTATGCCTACCGTGACAAATGCCTACACACATTTAGGTGTGCAACTTCTGCTTTGACAGGGGCATTGGTTTCCTAATTCCTTCCTCAGAAATGAATTAAATGTCTCCTTTCCTGTGTATGTAGACTTAACAAGCGGTGGTGCATGTGATTTTTTTTTAACAACTTGGATGCATGTATTTGGGTACAGAACAGAGGTGACCTCTCAGTTAGCCCCTGATGCAAGCTAAACATAAATTCCTTAGGCTTCCCAGGGGAAGTATTTGCCCTGGCGCTCCCTCTTGAATTCACCAATGTCATTAGCCACTATCATCAGGTTTGCCAAGAATGATACAACTGAGTAACAATTGCAAGAAACATGGTTGTTTGCCTTGGATTTTGATGATTGCCAGTTTTATTTCATTCTGTTTGTTCAAGCACAAATTAAATGACTAACGAGGAGCTCACCCACTCATCCAAAAGCAGTAAACCTGCTGATGTGTGAAGACTCTGTGCTCTTATGCCAAAGATAGTCTGTGCTCCTATCCAAAGTAGGTATGGCAATTAAACAATGCATCACCTCCCGAGAGAACATTTTAGGCATGGTTTGGTGTACGTTTTTACAAAAAAAGGTTGTATATAAAGCTCAGGACCTGTATTTCAGAAGGAATGTTGATGTCTTTGTTACTCTTATCAAATTTGTGGGCTTTAATCTGGTTCCTTAAAAGGAATCAAGACAAGTTCTACATGGTTTATCACTTTCCATGTCCACATGGATTTCAGGGAATGATTTTATAGTTCTTGATTTTTGTAGAGTACCCTTTGGCTCTATGGTTCGTTTTGAGGAAGGGCCCCACTTAACATATGAATGAAAGAAATGTGACTCTCATTCCTATAGGAGTTCCTTGAGAATACAGTTTAGGCTACCAGTTACAAAGACCATTATCAGCATGTGCAAGCAGTTTGGACAGGATTGAACAATATAGTGACCTAAAAAAGGTGTCAAGGTCAGAGATATAGGACAGAGAATAGTCAGATACAGGCCTTGTAGAGTCAGGTGGATATATGAGTGTAACAAAGCCAAGGTTCAGGGATGTCAGAATACAGTATAAAGAATTAAACAAAGCCAAGTCACCTACCAGAAATACCAAGGGTATAAGAACGTGCTCTTGGGCTACAGACACAGGCCATGGAAGAGAACGGTTTAAATAGGAATATGTGTGTGGTGATAAGTTAGGGACCGCAGTGGAGGTAAGTACCGCCTGGGTTAAAAAAGTATTTTACTTACCTTTTCTACCTTGCAGCGCTGGCATCCTCACTGAAGCTCCACATCTTTGGCTGAGATCATTGAGATTAATGCGTTGCCAATCAGGTGGTCATTCTAAGACCATCTGGTTGGCAACCAATTGGCAACCACTCTGCTATTTTACAGAAGCACCTCTTGTGGATGTCATGTTAACAGCTACTAGAGGCAGGTTAACCCTGCAAAGAAGCCATTGACGTTCCTTCAGAATGGCAATGTTATAGAGTTAAAGCTGGGGGCACATGGTACTCAGACCACTCCATTGAGATAGGGCACACTTAATAGGGCACACATGGGGTGGGTCACAGCACAGAACATGGCTGTGCAATACAAAAAAAACAAACAAACCCAGCTTCCCCCACACACAGATAATAGCCCTAAAACCCTTTGGTATTCAAATGTGCACAGGGATTAGGGATAACGCACAGGTAACTTTTTGGGTTTTGTTTACATATTTTGAATACTATAGCTATTGCTGTTGTCCAAGAGTAGTGGGAGTTTAAGTGCAGGGCATATTTCTGTGTGCTTTAAAGTACTTTTTAAAAACCATATGTAGTTTTAAAAACAAAATACAGTTACATATTTAAATTTGGATTGATGTCTTACTAACCCAATGTACCGTTTGGCAGAATATGCTGGTTCTATATGATGAATAATAATATTATTATTAATAATAATAATAATAATAATAATAATAGATGTTATTGCTTCACCACAGGTGGGTTCATTCCAATTACCATTTAACTAATTAAATTATCAGTATGAAATGCTATCTGTTTGCAGGAATGCCCCTAAACCCTGTAAACTGGAGGTTGGGCAACTAATGTATTGAAGAATAAATAGCCTTTTGGAACATATAAATATATTTTTAAGCAAACTTTCCATGGCAGAAATATTTTATGAAAATGATTTCAATTGTTACTATATTTTTTCTTTTAATTATATTTCAAGTTATTCTTCTTCTTTTGAATTTACTGAGAAAATATAAAAGAAAGCACGAGCATAATTAAATCATTAATATGCAATTAATTTTTGTTGCAACAGTAGATAGTTAACAAGACCCTATTTTATATCAGGATTAAAACTCGATCTGACAGTTTTCTGCTGGTAAATCCCCGTGGAGTCAGAATTACAGGTAAAAAAAATAAAATGCTCAGTTTGCTTTTCTCTGTTGGCTGAGTAATCCTTCAGTATGAAATACAATGCACTATGGAAAAAATATCATTAGGAGCTTGTGTTTAACCCCTGGTATCTTTCCTATGGAGATACGTGTTTGACTAGAAACATATTTAAAGCAAAATAATATTGTGAAGTGGAGCGGTCTTTAACTGCAATACACCCCTATCTCACATGCAGCACAATTAGCAGGTTAAAAATATACTTATACTTCTTGCTGAATGGTATCTCGATTGATGTGCAGCGTATAAAAGAAAAAGCAAAAGTGATCATAGAACAGATCTGTTGCATTAACTTGCACTTCTATGGATAGTGCTAAAAGTCACATATACTTTGTTAAATCAGCTGAATATTAACAAGTTTATTACAAATATAAAACAGATATAAAAATTAAAAAGCAAGTTATAATAACAATTAAAATACAAATACAGGACAAGTCACTGTTTAGTTAACATGTCACAAACAGCTCATTGCTCATTGCATAATCTGTATACTACAAAACAAATGTGAAACAAAAATAAAGCATATCACTAAGAATGGCTACAGAGCAGATAGCTGCTTACTAGAATTGTTGGTGAGTACAACGGTATGTGTGTACGTTTACTCACAGCCAGGCTTTCCCACACTGGGAGATGTCTCCTGTATTAAGAAGTTGAGGGAGGTCAGATAGAGTTCCTCTTTATTGCTGTTCGGGTGCCATCCAGTTCAGCATATAACACAGCTGTACCGCTCAAGGGTGCGGAGCCTATCCAGAAGCCAGGCGTTCTGAAAGCGGTACAGCTGAGCTATATGCTGAACTTGATGGATGGCGTAGTGGATGGTTGGTGGAAAGCCACCCTGTTCCAACAAGGCTGCGACGTCAGCAAGGCGGAGGTGGAGTCATGTTTTGGGCCGGAATCATAGGAAGAGAGCTGGTCGGCCCCCTTAGGGTCCCCAAAGGTGTTAAGATGACCTTTACAAAGTATGTGGAGTTTCTGACTGACCACTTTCTTCCCTGGTACAGAAGGAAGAACTATGCTTTCCGTAATAAAATCCTCTTCATGCATGACAATGCACCATCTCATGCTCCAAAGAATACCTCTGCATCAATGGCTGCTATGGGGATAAAAGGAGAGAAAGTCGTGATGTGGCCTCCATCCTCCCCTGACCTCAATCCTAGTGAGAACCTTTGAAACATCCTCAAGCAAAATATCTATGAGAGTGGGAGGCAGTTTACATCCAAACAGCAGCTCTGGGGGGCTATTCTGACATCTTGCAAACAAATTCAAGCAGAAACTGTCCAAAAACTCACAAGTTCAATGGATGCAAGACTTGTGAAGCTGCTATCATATAACGGGTCAAATGTTAAAATGTAATGTGACCTGTTAAAATGTTTAAAAAGTTAAAATGTTGTTATAAGTTTGATTGAAATAGCTTTTGATTTCAGTAAATATGCTGCAAACACAACAAATGACAATTTTCAGTTCTTTGCAACCTATAAAGTGTTTTGAAACTTACTGTGCTTAATAAATTGGAACAGTGCATTGTAAGTTTTTTATGTTTAAAAAAAAATACAGTTATCATTAGGAGGTTTGTTCAATAAAATTTGAACTGTACTTGTAACGGAACGCTGGTCTCTCACAGACTATTTCCACTGGTAGTCAGATGTGGCTCAGGAACAAACAGTAACCCCAGGAGAAACATCCACAGTAATAGAATAATCCACCAGCATAACAAGCAATAATATTACAGTAACCACCCACAATTCTCCTCCCTTCAGATAAGCATTTAACATAATTAACAAGGACATACTTTTCCCCGAGTCTTAGATGTACCCCAAATACCTAGCGTATACCCTTAAATCTGGTATCCCCTGATAGCCCCGATCTGGGTGAGCAACATATTCAAAAATCACCCAGATTGGACTCGGGGTTCGGGAGTTAGAGGGGTTTAAAGTTTTGTGGAGGTCCCTTTAGGCCCACTGAAGCATGGCTTTCCAGCCCAAACCAGTTCCAACTAGTCTGGCAGTGTGCCTGGGACAACGCCCTGCTGGAGAACAATGGGACAGGAAACGGGGGAGGGGCACACCTTCCTATACACCAGTGTTTCCCAACCCAGTCCTCAAGCCACACCTACCAGTCCTGGATTTAGGAATTACAGGGTGTGTCTAAGGTGTTTTTACAAAGAAGAAAAAAAACACCTTAGACACAACCTGGTAATCCCTAAATCCTGGACTGGTAGGTGTGCCTTGAGGACTGGGTTGGGAAACACTGCTATACACAATCCATACACAGTCTAATAGAAGTCCATACACTGTGCTGAAAGGTCCAGTAGCCGCATAATAAAAATCCATTATGCCCAAACATGTTCTTAAAAGGCAATACATCCCAGGGGCCATAGTCATAGGGCAGGAGGCGGGAAGCAGCCCCGTCCAAAAACTCATGGCAAGCTCCTTTAAAGGGGCGAGTTTGCTACAGTACTCTTAATAGTTGATAACATGAGAATTATGCTGACTGTTATTTACATCAATTATTTAGGTAAATGAGAAAAATATAATTTGCATAATAATTTGGAACAGAGTGTATATAAATAAATTCACTTTAATTGTTTAGCTTTTTTTTATTGCATCTATCACATTAATTTTGCAATATATATATATATATATATATATATATATATATATATACACAATACTCTTACAAACAGATTATTTGAATAAACTACGGATTATTTAACACTAGCATTATTTGATTTCTCTCCCACGTTGGAATTAGTGTAGGACCCATCGATATTGGGGAACTGTGAAGTAGTGGTTGGCTTAACACGGTATGGCCATATGGTGGAACTGAGTCCCCATATTTGTTGGCTGAGATAGCTAATTTTAAGTAGCCTAATAAAATTTAGAAATTTATTTTATGAGTGTGCTGTTTATGTATACAGTTTCGCTATTACGGCAGCACTATTCCTGTAAATTGCATGTTCCGTGTGTGCCCCCAATACCCTTTTATTTTTACTATCTATCTATCTATCTATCTATCTATCATAAATCATTATTTAACCTTTTTTGTTGCCTCAATGATAAAACACACTAACTGAAAACTCATATATTAACCGACGACAATTATGCTGATCTGTCCTCAGCGGTGCACTGTAGAATACATAGTAAAACAAAGAAATCCTCGTTACTATTGTGCACCTTAAGGAACAGAGTCATTTTACATTGATTCTATGTCTTTGTTCAATTGTAATTTCCTTCTTACTCATTAAGTGCACCAACACATGACATTAAATCTTTTTAAATGGTATTTAGGGCTTTTTTGTTGTTGTTTTTTTGTTATATCATAGATGCATAAAACATTTTGCATGGAAAAACATGGACCTTTATTTAACAACAAACAAAAATAATTTTGGGAGCAATCTGAGAGATGCAGACAGTTACCATACTAACCTACAAGCCTTACTATTACTCACCATCACTGTTGGTGAGGGGCATTGCTTGATGGTCCACTAAGATGGATGCACAAAAGAAGGACTCCACACTCCAAAGCCTGCACTCAGCTACCCGGCTGGTTGATACTTATATGGGCCGAGGTAGGAAACCGGGCTCAGCTTGTCCACATCTGGACAATTCTAGAGTGGTGGAACCAGTCCGATGGATGACTGTTTATCCACTCCAAATAATCTCTGCGGTCTACGTCCCATGCTTCACATGGTGTCAGTTTCTCCGGCCAGGAATACTAAGGGAGGAACACCCAATTGAAGCTTACAGGAGAGAGGTTCAACTCACCCCCTCTTCCACTAATACCAAGAAGGACCTGGCCACAGGACATAAAGGGGAAAATCCACATGGAAATGCCAGGCCTAGTACAAATAGAGGGCAGGATAGCAGCACTGGAGACATAAACATCTCATTAGGATCAGAGGCACATGGCAACCATATTGGCAGAGCAGTGGCAGTGCTCTGTCCTGCTTGAAATGAAAAGGCACGTGGATGACCTCAACAACAGGGGGAGAAGATGTAATATTTGTACTTAGGGGACTGCCAGAAGCACCAGTGCCAGAATAATTAGCGAAAAAGGTTTAAAGCACTCTTTACTTTCCATGGGCCCCGGACGATCCTCTTGGGACCTAACATGTTGCCTCCACTCTTAGATGGTCACATGCAGAGGAGGAAGACCCAGCGAACAGGGGGAGAAGATGTAAATTTTGTACTAAGGGCCTGCCAGAAGCACCAGTGCCAGAATAATTAGCGAAAAAGGCTCAAAAAGCACTCTTTCCTTTCCATGGGCCCCGGACGATACTCTTGGGACCTAACATGTTGCCTAACATGTTGCCTCCACTCTTAGATGGTCACATAATGCAGAGGAGGAAGGCCCAGCAAACATGGACCTCACTTTCAAGACCTCACTTTGCACATCCTGAATGCCACAAGTGCACTACAACCGATCACAGCAGAACTGCATAAAAGAAGAATCCCTTACAACTGCGGCTTTCCATCCAGCATGTCGGTGAGGAGAGGCACTGAGCTACACATTCTAAGAAACTCCTCCGGCAGGCTGACTAATGCCAACCACTGCACATCTTAGCCCTTCACCACCCCAAATATGGTTGCAAACTTGCGTCCTAACACAGTTTTCTCACATGCATTGCCAATACCCAATCCCTGCCCTTCATAGGATATTTAAGCACACATTAGACATTCCTCAGTGCCCTGTCATAGTTTCCCTTAGAGGTTATTTAAGAGCACTTTCCTATTACTCTCTCTTGAAATTTTGACCTTGGCTTGTTTATTGATTATTTTCCATTCTACATCTTTGAATCTTGGCCTGTCTTATCGATTTCCGTACTCTCTGTCTCCCTGAACTCTTTTTGTATAATACTATTCTAAGTAACATCTTGGTGTTAAATTTGTTAATACATTTTAGTATTTAGCTTTATATTATTTGTATTTGTTCAGTTAAGTACTGCATGTTGGGTATAGTTAGTCCTGACATACAGATTCCTGGCGGCCAGGTGGTCTCTCAATGGGTCTAAACAGCAGCTGAAGAAAGAGTGGTGGGGCGGTGCGGCTACTATCCTACAATCTATCCCCCATATACCTTGCCATACTCAAACCATACCTCTTATCCAACCCCCCCAACCCCCTTTTTATTTTCCTTCTCCCCTTTTTCTTTTCTGTTTTTGAACATCTTCTAAATATCCAGAACTGTGTTAGGGTTTGTCAAGCATTTATGGGAATGCCAACAATGACTAGATTCAACTCTTCCTTGCCTGCTCTCACTTATGTAGCGAGTGGAGGGGATATATGGAGTTCCATTTGGCTCCTATGTAGCTTAATAACAATGTGATTAAATAGTCTTCTGACACATTAGGAATCAAGTCCCTAGTTAAAGGAAATATGCTTTTGCAGGTTTTGCCATTTTCACGTCATTGTTTTTTTGAAAAACAAATAAGCTAATATAACTTATATGAATGTAACATATTACAAATATAAAGTGAAAAAAATAAATGTAAAGATAAAAAAATGTATGTACAAATAGAAATGAACAGATAGGCAAGTGGACAGACAGACAGAGAGACATTGTGTGGACACACATGCATGCACATACATAAAGTAATTTTGTTTTGTTTTTTAAATTACTGTGCAAAAATTGTTACTAAGAAATTATTTGAAATTGTATATTGTTGTTTATAACACAAGTGGAACCGTAACACAAGTGGAATCTTCTTTGCCCACAGTAAATCTTTGTAAGATATTCTGTCTGACTTATATTACTAATATATATATATATATATATATATATATATATTTTTTTTTTTTTTTTAAATAAACCAAATGGTGCAGTTTGAATCTCTTCTATAGCATGGGGGTTAGCAAACCCATTTTCTCATATGAAAATATTTGCAATTAAATATATTTTAGTTTACATCTAGTTTTTAAGACAATAAAAATGGATGCCTACACGTAAACGCTAATATAATGTGGAAGTATTTTCAGATTTATTTTAAGCCTTCAAGGATCAGTAACGACTACATAAAATATTATTTTTTACAAATAAAAAAGTGAATGACTAGGAGTTCCACATTGATAACCTTTCCAGCTACTATTCTATAACAAATGAACAACTCACTTTGATCAGCAAGATGCGCCAATACAAAATTTAATATATTCAACAAATTCAACACTTATCTCCAAATAATATTCTTTGCAAATGATGAGTTTATTGTATTCAGTTTGTCAAAAAAGTCTCCTTTGCAGGAATGATATGATTGTTCCGAATGAAGACAGTCACTCCTTGACCTATTCCGATGGCCTATTTTTTTTTCTAGTAACAACATGATTTAAATTTTCATGAGCAAATAAATTGTTTCACACAAAGGAATATACATGCATCAAAGCAATGAAAC